AATGAATTCAAAGTGGCTCAGTGGACAAGTATCAACGCGTTAACCTCAATGACCTGGGTTCAAATCCCAGGTCTGGCCAATTTCCACATTATTTTTCTATTCAAGTTCCTGTGCAGGTTTCTCATTAAGGCGCACCATACTCCTTCATCCTCCCACCATCCACGCGTCCATCCCACTCAGATCAAGGGCATAAGATCAAGGAACACCATGAATCCCAGTCAAAGCATCACACAAGATTGGAAAAGTCAACCAATTCAATGCAAATGGGCCTGATTTGCTAGGCCTGCACCTCACAATTTTGGGGTCTACCCCCCTGGTTTGCCTTATTAATTTTTATTCTTTCTTTAACTTTTCTTTTTTTATTTCTTTTATTTGCTATTTATTTAATTAATTATTTTTTACATAAATATAATAAAAACATCATAAAAATCAAAAAATGCCAAAATATATAATTTATATTATAATTATTTTCATAAATAATAACATGTAAATATTTAGTTTTAATTAGGTTTTCAACTTTAATTCCTTTTAATAAAAATCAAAACAAAAACATAGAATTAGGTTAATGACTTTTTCCTTTTAACTTTCCTTGTTTTTTGCCATAGTATTAGTATTTTTCATAATTAAACTAGGGTTGCATTTTAGGTTAGATTTTAATACTTTCTTAATAACTAAAAATCCAAAAAAATAGAGTTTAGGTTTAATAACTTTTATTTTCTTTTTTAATTTTCCTTTTATTTCAGAATAATAATATTATTTATTTATTTTCATAAATTAAAAATTGTACATAAATTAATTTAGAATTAAATTAGGTTAAAAGTCAATATTTTCATAATAAACTTAAAAGACATTAGAACTAGGATTTTAATTTTAATTAACTTTTTTTTTTTTTTCTTTTAAATCTAAAAACACAAAAATACCATTTTTCATTTAATTTTAATTTTAGATAACTTAATTATTTTAATTCTTTTAAAGGGTTCAACGCCCTCGCATTTGATTATTTTCTTTTTTTCGCGCGTTTCATTTATTTCTTTTGTAAATAATTATGTATATGTACCAAAGCCGTGTAATAGCTATTAGACATTTCTTTTCTGCAATTTATTTTAAAACGGGTCTGGATTAATTTGGCGTTGTAGACCCTCGCCCTTTGTAATAGCGTAGGACTTTTATTTTTTCCGCACTTTAAATTCCCGCACTTTTAACTTAAACAATAACATGAAAGAATGAATGCCCAAAAATAAAATCGAATCGTTAGATCACCAATGCATGACAAGACAAACAATAAACTGAAAATGACACACAATTCACACACCACCCCTAGGGTACGCCTCACTGTTGCCTTTCGAAAGGTGATCATCGAGTAGAGGATATTTTAGTAAGTCCTTGTGTCCATTGATCAAGTTGCCTAAAACAAAGTTGCCTCGAATAAGTTGCCTCGGAATAAAAGATCAATGGCATAAGGGTAGCTTCTAAGGTGTCTTCCTATTGCTCTGGTGATCACCATGTCCCTATAAACTCGAATTGACCCGAACACCTCCAACGGTGGTGCTACCTACCTCTCAATGGTGGGATGGCACTACTTTAAAGGACATTTACACAGACGAATTCCTTAGGGTAGGTAGGTTCTCAAGAATACTTGCTCTAATTTCAAACAAATCAAAAACATCTTTTCACACTGACACACTTTCAAAAAAAACTTTCAAAACAAACTTTTCAAACACTCTGACGTACGAGTTGAATTGAAACTTTTCAAAGAATATTTTTGAAACCCACATTGAAAAGCAAGCAAACATTTTGAAAACACATTGAGCAAGTACCTAAGAGCCCATGGATAACCATGGATAGAAAGGGTGCTAACACCTTCCCTTTCTATAACCTACCTCCCGAACCGAGAGCAATCTCTTTAAAGGAATTTTTCTGTGCTTTTGTCCTTTCCTATTGGAGAAAATAAAAGACGGTGGCGACTCTTGCTTACCGCGACATTTCGCGAACCAGCTTTAAAACAGTCAGTTCCAGATCCACCGATCACAGGTGGCTTTTAAAATCATAGCATTTTGATCAAGTTTCTTTGAAACCGGAGTGTTCTATACCAAAGACATTACTATAATGGACGATACATTCCATAAAAGAGGATGAAACTTGGCCGGATCACTTTTTGGAAAGGATGAAAGAGTTCTCCATATTGAGCGAGATCAAAAGAGAATCAAATAAAAAAGATTCAAAGACAACACCACCCATATAAATAGATCTAGGTGATGATACATGTTTTCATGCATTTTAGTTTTTATCTAATTATATTTTTAGATGGTGACTCATTTTTTATATATAATGTTGATACCATTTGATACATGTGTAAGGTATATTCAACATTAATTATATAACAGTTAGTGTCAACTTTGAGAAAACTTTCTGTTTCAACCTATTAACAAGTCTGTCCATGCATAAAACAAGTTCTGTATGAACAATGGATCAGTGGGGCGAGTCATGAGATGCACTTCTAATTAACTCCATTTTAACTACAAAACTACCAAACATGGGTATTTAGGAAATGTATTTCCGTAGAAACCATTGTTTTAAAAAAAGAAGGTGAGTTCGAAAATGCATATGTAGAATATCCTCTAAGACAAGATAGGGCTTCTAAGGTCCATAGTAATCTAAAATTTGTATAAATATGAGATCTGTCTCATGTTGTTTACAAAAACACATCACACCATAATGAACACATATTGACATGTCGCATTTCTCTACTTCAACGACGTGAAACCATCACTTAAATTTAAGGTCACAAAGTACACCTCTTTTGTAGATTTGAAATCCATATTATAAAATCTCCTATAATACTTAAATAATCGAAGAGTTGTGAAGCTTGAGTACCATTCACCCTAGATTGACAACGAAGGGAAGATTCAATTCAACAAGTTTGAGTTGAAAACGAATGAAGATTTAAGGGTTAGGTGAAGTATATTTCACCGTTATGAAATAAATGGTCCGATTGAAGTGTATGCGACAATTGCAAGATCAATCAATGATATTCTAATGATGTTGCAATATTCTGATTAAATGTAATGTTAAATTTATGTTAACAATTATCTATGTAATGTTACATATTTTGATGTTAATTTATGTTTTTCTTCAACTTTCGGCATTTGTTACTAGTTTGTGGTTTAAACTAATAGAGTATATTTCGGAGATGCATCTCCATAAAACTCATTGAATTTGAAATAAGGGTTATTAAGGAGATGTATTGTGGGGATTTTACACTAGGAGCATTGATACAAAGTTGAGGATTATGCACCTTTGTGAGAGACACACCACTTATCCACCTAAAATCTTAAGGTGATAAGTGAATGGGTTCTCCCACTCCATATTCTTATCCAATATGAGATTATTTCTCCACTTACTCACACTTGCATTATTGTTGTAAGACTCCCCCTCAAATGTGAGTCCATAATACTCTCCCACTTGTGCCGTCGTTGACACCTTGCAATAAAACACCCCTTCTTGGACATTTTGATACTAAGTCGGTCCTTTTCTCGAACCAAAGGCTCATGATACCATTTGTTAGAGAGAGTTTACTAGAGAGCATTGATACAAAGTTGAGGATTATGTGATAGGTGAGTGGGTTCTACTACTTATATATTATTAAGTAACCCTTGCTATATTATTCTAACACTTTCCCTGAAGTGTGAGTCAACAATGCTCCCCCACTTGTTCCGTCGTTGACATCTTACAACAGACACCGCTTCTTGAGTGCATTTAGATACAAGTCCCTTTCGGTCCCTTTCTCGAACCGGGCTCTGATACCACAGTTGGATCATCATGAGGGGGAAGCATTCACATTGGGTCAAAGACTTACCTAAAGATCAAAGACTCATCCAAACAAAATGAGAGAGACACCATATATTCACCCAAAATCTTAAGGTGATAGATGAATGAGTTCTATTACATATATATTATTAAGTCTCCACATTCCTATCCAATGTGAGACTATTTTCCTACTTACTCATACTTGCATTATTATTCTAACAAGATGCACCTTCTAATTAACCATAATATGGATACGGATATGCATTCCGAACATTTTTTAGGACAACAAGAGGTGAGAAAAGCGTTGAGAATGTTTAATATAAGTACGCTCAAAAATACATCTTTAAAATCTAGAAATATTTGTGACTTTTTACCGTAGTGAATTAAAGAATCTCTAATAAAGTTATACCCATATTTTATATCTCTAAAATATCATATTTTATACACATTAGTATTACACTCTTCTCGGTCATTATAATAAACAAAAAATTAAATTTTATATTGATTAACATAGTTAGTTAAGTTTTTTATTTTTTATTTTATAGAAAAATATAAGATAAATTTTTTGAAATATTCTTAGTGATATTTAATAAATCAACTCTCCAGATTTAATTTTTTAAATAAATAAATATATATATTAAAAATATTAGCAATAGTAACGAAAAAAATTTAAAAATTATTTACTTTTACTTATAATACTCACTAAAATTTAAAGTTATTTTTTTGATAATAGACATAGTAAAGAGTAACTCTTACTCTTATAAATTTGAAAGGTCATCTTTGACCGCATATAAAGCAGACTATCCCAATGTCTAAAATTTATCAAAGTTAAAAGTTAAATAAAATCTTATAAAATATTTACACCCAGGTTTCCAATAACTTGGAAGAACTCGGAAAATTTGTATGTTGAAAATTGATGGGAGGTAAGATATATAGAGAGAAAACTGGTGAGTGGTTTGCAGAAACAATTATGTAGATACTTTTCTCAGACTCTAGTCAAGTTGTACCCTATTTAAATCCAAATTGTATGCATGCAAAATAACTTCAATACAATGTACACCTAATGTGTACCGGTAACAACCACTCAAGTGTTGGATGACAGTCCAGTATAAAACAACTGCAAAATGAAACTCTATTATTCTCTGAGAAAAGATCATGATATAAGAGATTAATATTACTGATAAAGAAAAAAGCTAGCTACATTTTCCATAAACACTTTTGAAACACAGACAATTAGATTGGATTAAATGTGGTATTAACTCATACATAGTAATGGAACAGAACAAGAACAAGAACAGGTTCTGCTTCATTCTCCCTCTGAAACTTGGATTCAGATTTGCTGCATTTAGCAACCGACACAGTCGACATGTAAGTGGCAGTTGAATGAGACCTAACCGTCCAAATTTCAATGCATATTGTGATTTTAGAAAACCATTGAAATCTGGATAATCTGATCTTGATTCAACTGCTACCGATACACCGACTGTGTGAATGCGTGAAATTGTTGACTGCAGCAAATCCAAATCCGTCGAACTTTCAGGAGTTATATAATTCCCGGCTCTCATTTCATTTCCAAGCACAAGAAGCAACCAAATCTCTATTCATCCAACCAAGGTATAAAGCTCCATCTCTCTCTTCAAGTCTATATCTATCACTATAGTTCTCAAGCAATTTCTTTATGGTACCATTCACCAAAGAACTCAAAGGGTAAGGAGTGAAACCAGCCATTGCGAATCTCGACCTCCACTTCCCAAGCAACTCGTGTCGTTCCACTCTCTCGACCCCTTCACAAGCTATGATGTTAACTAAGTCTCTTGCCAAGCAATGCTGCTCAACATTGATTCTCTCTTTATGTTCTCTCGGAAGAGTCACGTCTATTGACTCGAACATTGCTGTGTAATAGTCCATAGTTTCGAGAAAACGCGGAAAGAATGCAGCAGTGTTTGTGTTAGATTCTTGCTCAACAAGCGTCACGACTTTCGGTGATAGGCTCTTAACCAATCTTAAGAGCCTATCTCTATGATTCTGAGTGCTGACACTCTCGTCCGGCATGTGATGTAGCATGAATGCAAAATTTACTGCAAGAGCTTCTCCCGGCCGAACTCCGAGGTTATGCAGTTGAACATCACAACCTGAGATAGCTGCTGCGTGAAATTGAAATGGCACCTTGAAATGCTGAGCAAGCTTTGATAATCTCTTTTCAACTATATGTAGTCCACCTCCACGTGCATAAGCTGATGTTGAATCATCAATACCTGTAATGCGGATGTGCGGAGGCCCGCCGGGCCTAGCTGCAAAAGCTTGAATCAACGAAATCCATTGGCTTCCTTGAGCAATTTGGAAATCGATTATATGAACCCTTGCTTCATTTTTCATGGCTTCTGCAATGGCTCCATTGGCAGACATGTATCCAAATTTAAAGTAAGGGCAAACCTCATAAAGTATGTTCATGTAAGAGAGAAGTTCGGTACTTTCCGGTTCTTTGCATCTTAGAGATTTATAGATTGAACTCCCGGATGCAGACAATCGCGCAATGAGTCCTTCCAACATGTATGCTCCCAACCTTTGAATCGGTTCGCCAGAAACCGAAACCATCTGCCGTAATTCATCCATCAACCATTGTGCCATAAGCAAATCATTGTCTGCAATTGCTTTTGCACATGCAGTAAGGATGTGCTTTAGATTTTTACTCGAAATTGCTACCATTGTTTGTCTCCAACTGTCCATTTCAAGTGAAACAAAACCAGTTCCGTTGCTGATGGCGCTGTCGTAACTATCAAGATTATCAGAGTCAGGACCAAGCATTACATTTTCCAATTCTCTTAGCTTGTGTTTGAAGCTACTTAAATCTTCAGTTACGCACGATCCACTCATCGGTGAGTCATAGGTATCATCGGGGGAGTGATAAGGATCTTGTGGATATGTCTGACAATCTTGCTGCGACATTGGACTATCGTTAGTCGAGAAACTAACGGTCGAAGGAGAGTTGTAAACCACAAAACTTCCAGCTGCAGAAGACGACTCCAACGTGCAGTAAAAGTCAGAAGAATTTGGAGCCGAGAATTGAGTTCCACTGCCTCCATCATTGCTGTATAGCTGATGATTTAGATTTCGATATTGCGGCAAGCAATATGATTCGATTTGTTGCAATGGTTGATAGTACATACTCATACTCCTATGCCGCTCCGATGCCTGCATCGTAGAATCAATAACTAAGAATCTTACCGGCGTCTAAACTATAATTAATCTCTACAAGTTCATTCTTCTGCACAGATTCAACATTTTCTGCATAAACAAATCACAGAATCAGTACTAACATTAACAAACAATTTCAGCTTTCATACATCATACAATGCATATAAAAAAGAAGAAAAAAATATTTTCAAGTCTTGAAAAAATTAAGCACACTTGTAGATTCACTGTGCAGTTGACAATTAATCAACTTTTTCTTCTAAATTGAAATCAAATAACAAGTCAAACATTGAATTCTCTCTGTTTACTTTTTTTAAGAAAAAAAGAATAAAGAAACAAGTTGAATCAATTGGTGAAAATTTCCAGGAACCTGCACAAAAGAAAAGACCCTTCAACCTATCACTGATTTTTCTTGACCAAATAAAACAGGAAAATTATCTATAGAACACATACATCAGAAACACAACATCATCGTGACCAACACCGACACTCTCACGTCGACATTGGTAATAATTAAAAAAATAAATAAATTAAACATTATCACAAGTGTCAGTCAAGGACACAACAGTCAAGGACACAACGTTTATCAGAGGTGTCTAACATTTTTCAAAGGTGTCGGTGCTACTGAGAAAATTTATAGAAATTACATTAATTAAACAAAGAGAAGGGAATGAAAATTTAGAAAGGAAGAAGATTAAACAAAATTCAAAAGATAAGACAGACAAAAAATGTAAAAATTGCCCTTTATATCTAGATTTCATTAAAATGAAGTGTTTCAATCAATTTAGGAATTCACACATGCATAGAGAAAAATTCCTCAATCAATTACAGATGTCTATAAAATACAGATCAGAAGAAATTCTTAACCAACAACATAGTTAATTAATCAAATCACCTCTTATATAGTCCAAAGATATTCATAACATCATAGAAACCTTTTAACAAACAGATCATAGGCATACACAAAAAATGCATCAAAAACTGAAATGCAAAAAACTATGAGCTTAACAAACTTAACATTACAAACCCATTTGGAAAAACCATTTAAAACCAAAGAAGAACAAATAAAAAACCAAACTTTACAAGAAAAATCTGAATATGGCTTTCAAGATTTTTGAGAAATGAAACAAATTTCTTACTTGTTTTAGAGGAATGAAAACCAGAGGAGTGAAGTAGAAGAATGTAAGAGGAGGGTCTTATGATGATGAAGTTGAATATAGAAAAATGAATGAGAAATAGCCCTTATATTGATATAGAAACTACACAACAACCATCGGAGAGTGTTGGTGTTAAATTGATGTTTATGCTAAAGACAATTTTGTTTTTTTATGGGACGTTTGTTTTAAGGATTTATAAAAGATTTTCAAAAATAAGTTATTTATATGAATATTTAATTTTAAGATATTTTAAAATGTGTTTAATATATAATTTGAAATTCTTTGAAAAATGAATAATTATATATTTTTTTAAAAATAATTATGTGAAGCTTTATGGAAATAAATATTCCCCCACCTTCATGGGAAATAAAATAATGAAAGTTATTCTTAGGAGTAATTTCGTGGAGGTCAAGTAAGAAATATTTTTATTTTTAAGACTTTTTGTTTGAACAACACACATTTGTAAGAGATTTATCACATATTCATCCAAAATTTTAAAGATGATATGTGTGAATTCTCTCACTTATATAGTCTTCAATCTTCTATTTCCTAATTAATATAAGACTTTTTTCCTCACTTGATTTTTAAAAATTATTTCATTTCAAAGAATTTTTATTTTTAAAAATATTTTTTTTTCAATTTTCTACCAAATATAAAAATTACTTTTTTCCAATCATATATTCTCAAAAATATTATTTCTAAACTTGAAACAAAGACTCAAATAACCTCTCGTCTAGTGATGTAAGTGTGATCTTGTGAGGTCTATCTATAGTATGTTGGGTCAAATACATCCATTTTATCATATACTAGTATCTATAATTCAATACATTATTCAACCATAAAATAGAATGCATCACTATCTAATATAATAATGTGTATTATAAATAATCACACGTGGCCTTTTTCTGTTTACTAGAAACTTGACTTTGACTTTAATGCCCTTTTTCTTACACTCTCGATGAAAAAGTTGCATTTATATTATTTATGTATTTATTAATTATGCCATTCACTTTTTTACAAGAGGCGAATATTAGTTATTTATTAGTTATATTATTTATAAAATTTTACTTTTTTAAATTATTTTATTATAATACTTGTTTAATTTTAAAAATAACAATGAATATTTACGGTAGGATAAATAATTATTCATGATTAAAATAATATTTATGTTTTTTATATCACATATCTTTTAAATAGATGTTTAATAGTGTGTGATGTATATGCTGATATTTATGAATATTTATATATTAAATTTGTTTTTAAGAAAATATATGAAATTGAAGAAAATTTAAGTTTGAAATTGATTTAATACTAGTAATTCGTTTATTTATTAAACATGAATATTATTGTCTCTAGATTTTTTTAATTGAATAATGAAATTTATTTCTTATTTATGTATTAATTTTTTTATAAATAATAGATTAGTTACGACTGATTATTGTTTTTACTATCTATTTGATGATTTTTTATTCAATATTTTATTAAAAAATATTAATGAAATGAAATATTTATTTATTATTAAGAGATATCTTATACATTGACTGACTTATCAACAAATATTTGTGAATAAACTTTTTCCATCTTTTCTCTATGCTCATCAACCAATGAGAAGTCTACTTAGATATCATTGGTTCATAACTAACAATTACATGATAACTACTACCGAAATTGTTGATTAGTGTTAATTAAGCACCACTCCTAAAAGGATTTTACATTGATGACTTAACAACTTTGAAGCCAATTTGGTGGCTAAAGACATCATCATCACACAAAACCATAATCATATATCTTCAAAAACTTTGTTTGTACTTAAAATTTCTATAATTACTCATTTTTTTTCATTTATTTTAAATATTCCAAAATTCTTAAATGTTTATCTTTTAATTAAATTCAAAATGTACAATTCTTAACTCATTCTATAGGCCTTTTTAATTGGTAACATTTAATTATATATTGTACAGAAATAAAAAACTGAAGATAATGTAATATAATGAGATAGCAAACTAAGGTCTATTTGGTAATTCAAATGTATCTTATGATTTTCAATTTTGTTAATTTATTTAATCACTATCATATCTCATTATTATACTATAAAATAATGACCCACACGGTTGAGTCAGAGCATAGAAGAAATAGAAGAAATAGAAGAGAGAAACCTTACAATAAAGGCAAGGGACCAAGAAGTAGTGCCTTACACTTCACCTAACATGCACTTTGATTATTTGATACCTTTCAATTTGGTTTATTAATTATATTATTATTTTAAAAATATGCATCTTTAGTTTTATATTGTTTGCTTGTTCTGATTCTTCTCTTTTATAATCCATTGAACTTATCTCTAAACTATCATCTTAGAATCTTTAAAGTGTTGAGATAATTATTAGAACACATCATTGAAGAGTGCGCATTCTTAGAGGCTATCTTTTTCATCATTCCCTTTTCTACTTATTAACATCAAAAAGGTAATTAGTGAAGTGAAGTTTAATAATCCGTGATAATTATGTTTCAACCATGCATTTTGTTAATTGGGGTTTTGATCATGCCAAAGAATTATAAGATTATTTTAGTGGATGTTTTGGTACAATTTAAAAGAGTCTTTTAAAGATTATGTCATGATATTTTTTAAATAATATTTAGACCTTTTAATGGATCGTGATTTTTTTTTTTACGTTGTTCATTCTACTTTGATCTAATAGTGGGAAAAAAAATCAAATCTGTATTATAAAATAGGTAAGATGAAATGATTAGATTAACTTTAAAATAAGTAAGATAAAATGATTAGATTAAATTTAAGGATTAGAAATTGTGCAGGAGAAATGGAAGTAGAAAAAAATGTAGGAAATGATATATTTTCCCCTTCAATTTAATAACACATCAATCAATTAAATAAGACATGTTTTATCATTTAAAAGAAAAAATAGTGAGAGTTTCAGATCCAAATCAAACACTATTTTCAGAAGAAAAAAAAGAAGGTGTATGAGACTCAAGGTCTGGGACATTACTGATATTGTTGAAATTTAAGGTCTAAACCATGCATAATGAATGACAAGTCCTTTAAAGTGTTAAAATCATGGATATCGTCTTCAAGTTTTTAAGAATCGAAGGACTTGCTAAGTGCAAGTTATTTGTCTACATGATATAAAGTATAAAATTTAAATTTACCAAATTCACGAGGTGAAATGTGTAAACATTTCACAACTTTTGAGAAGTCGAAATCAATGTAAATTTTGAGAGGGATCAGACAAAAATAGATGAACCACTAAGGAGCTACATTTAGAGGTTGTTTTAGTGAATGATGCAGACGACAAGATGAAGAGGTATTTGCTCAATAAAATGCTTTAAAAAGGAACAAGGGTTGTTGAAAATGTGAGAATAAAAAGCTCAAAAATTTCAATGACTTGCTCGGTCAAGGAAAAAAGTATATCTAATACAAGAAGATGTTGGAGATGAGTAAGGCTATTTATGGCACCACAAAAAGGGTTGACATAAACAAATAAAGAGTGGTATGTCCTATCAGAGAAGATAGGAAAGAGGCCTCCGTCTAAGTACAAATATTATGCTCTCTTGAATACTTCTAGAGAATATATCTTTCAAGAATGTGCCATCGCCGAGTTCAAGGAATAAGAGGTTGAGTTTCCAAATAAGGTCCAAAAGCAGATAAGTCTAGACATGTCAAAATATTATTGTTTCCACAAGAGCAATGGGCACAACACTGAAGATTTATCTAGTTGAAAGACTTGATCAATGATATAATTCAAAGGAGTAAGTTTTCAAGGTCCACGATGTAGGACAAGGTCAAAACAAATGAGCATAAGTTTAGAGTCAAGCCCGCTCTTCCAAAAAGAAGATACGAAAATGCACAGGTCACATGGAGGAATCCTCAAAAGACAGGGACGACAAATAGATGCTGGTGTCGTGGCATATGACATGAAATTCTAGCACTTTCAAATAAATGTTAAGACAGATGTCTCAACACCAAAACACAATGTCAAGATAGATGTTAAGACATCATCTGCTGATAGAACACTTGTACCAAACAATAAATTATGCAGAAGTAAATTGCAGAATGTAAAAGATACAATGAATTGTTAACCCAGTTCAGTGCAACATCACCTACTTTGGGGGCATCCAAGCCATGAAGGAAATTCACTGTGTGTGTGGGTGGGGGCACTATAAGAAAACAACTCAGAAGCTTCGACCAAAAGTAGACCTTCACAAGACAAAAGCATACATTATTGGGTTTTTAGCATCGACTTAGCGCCTGGGTCGGGGCAGACTCATCAAGCATTAAAATTAACAATAACATATAGCCGAAGATAATTAGTGTTGGACATCTGAGACATTATAAAGAAGCAAAGACATGGTTGAAAATCCAACACTATTTCAAAGCTAAACAATCCTAGTTTACAACTTATCACTTAACCACTACCTTATGCAACTTCTACATATGAAAACCCCTCTCACTTCCCACAATCACCTCAGTGATAAAAACAAAAGACTAAAGCAGAAGAACATACTTCCAATTACACACAATACACTCTTTGCTTAAAATCTCATGAGTGATTGACAATGAACAATCAATCAAACTCTATGTATCAACATGATACATGAGTGACATACACAAAAACACAATACTCTAAAAAGACTCCCAAACCCTAAAACTCTTGTAGAATAAATTCTTCTTATTTTTCACACCTTTCATTAGGTTTAGGTTTTTCCTTTTAATGATATCAGTTGTCTATGGGATTTGAATTCTCTGCCCAATTTGTTGTAGATTCACAAGCTGATAGTTACACCAATTATGTAGAAAAATCTCTTTGAATCTTGGAATAAAACATCATAAGTTTCCTACATTGTCTCAACATCCAATTTTAGAAACTGATGTACAGTTGGAGATAAAATCAATTGTTCCAAATAAAATCTTCTTGACCCACGCAAATAAGTGAGATGTATCCAAGAGAATCTCACAAAATCAAATCAAATATGTCAAGAAAGTAACAACATAATATGCTATATCAGTTGGCAAAGATGTCACAACATTTTGCTCAACATCTGGAGGCAGTAACACCTGCTATGATAGTTGTTCAAGATGTCTCAATATCTTGCTCAACATCTAACTGTGATATATGTTTTCCCAAATGAAACTTGTTTTACCAAAATTATTGCCAATCATAAAATCACAAACCTAACAAACTCTCCCTTTGGCAAATTTTGGCTAAAATAACCTTTTCACAATAAACCCGGAGATAAGGAATAAAACCATAAAATAACAAAACACAAGCTACATGAAATACATGTAAAATTTGTACAAACTACAAACAGAAACATCAGTGAAAAATGCATCTATAGAGAGACCTAGTCTCACACACAAATCTTCTTCAAACTCCAAAAGTATTTAGGGATCAGATGTCATGACATGTGGTCTAACATCACATCAACACAACCAAAAACAACTCCAACAAAACACAACAAACTCAACACCATAGCACATTGCTCAACAACTTCAGAAAGGTCAATTACTCCCCCTCTCACATATAATCAATACTCCCCCTCAAGGGAACATCCAACAATCCAAATATGAACTGTCCAAGTTCACACATCAAAGGCACATGCAACAAAAGAAAAATATGCCTCACAAACAAAAACTAAGATAACTAGAGTTCTACACAAAATACTTCAGGAAAGATGTCAGGACATCTGGGATGATATCATGCATACACACACACACACACATACACATATTAGCATTAGTAGCAGAAGCAGAAGCAAAAGTAAAGTACCTGCACAGAGCATAACTGACAATCATGCTTCCCCTAAATAGTTGCATACATAAAAAGCAACAACAAAGACTACTCTCTCTCTAAGCAGTAGTATATTCCTATCACAATTTTAATCAACATGCCAAGACATTTAACATGACATCAACATCAAGACAAACAAACTTCCAAGAAAATTCACTAACACTTTACTCCCCCTTTTTAGCCAAAAATTGACAAAAAAATAGAGTAAATGTATAATAAAATTGGAAGCACACATGCAAACAAGCATAATCAACAGATGGAAGCACAAATAGTTGGAAACACACACTTGATCATCTTCAGGTGGTCTTCCATATTTTACCCCTGTCAAAAATCCTTCTGCACTTCTTGCTGATGTTACATGTTTTAGAAGTGTTGACACTGAACTCCCTTTCCACTGTAACACCCCAATTCTACCCCAAGCAATTAGCGGAAAATCAGAGTATAAAAATTTCCAATATAATTAGGATGTCACATATTCAACAAAGACACATAAAACTGTCATGCTTTTAGAATAGATACATAACACTTAAAGAAGCGAAAAGAACACGATTCATGAATATAGTATTCATAACATAAACCAAACTTTGATTAATCACGCAGCGAACTCATAATAGTTCTCTAAATATGATATAACATATTTTGAATCATAAAACAACATCAACACCATAACTCCTCAATAACAACATAAGGTTCAATAAATAAACAACACAATAAGACAAGCGTTCATTTCCCCCTGAGTGCTACATATCAAAGCAAATGACACCAAACTCGAACTAACAATGCTATCGGCTACTCCTCTTGGTTACCCGCACGTTATCAACAAGGGAAACATTCAAACAGAAGGGGTGAAATATCGAACACTATAATAAAATGTATGATAAATAATATATCGGAAATTAGTTCATATAAAATCACCACTTCATACAACATCAACATAAAGCAACACCATTCACAACCACTTCAATTCAACTTATAACATTACC